TGAAAGGTTTCTCTGGTGGTATAGTGTCCTCTTAAGCATTTTACCTGAATTCATTTAGAAAAATTGAAAACGATTTGAAAAATCTAAAATGATTTGAAAACTATTCGAAACAATTAATAATTGTTTGGATTATACTTATTTAGTTGTCGTAAATCGTTAATAATTTAGTAGTTTTTATGCAAATCTGAACTGTTAATTACGCAACATTAAAATATTTTTAAATGTCATATTTACATTAAAATAAAAATTGTCGAATTGAAAAATCGTCTGAAAGTTTCATGCTTATAGTTGCAGTGATTTTCTGCACAAATAAACATAATATGAAGAAAATATAAGAATTTGAAAGAAAAAAATGTCAACTTAGTTAAACTTTTATTAACTCTAGTTTAATTGATGTCGTCTCTTTAAATTTATCAGTAATTTGGAATTCAAATGGCATGCATTTAAAATAACAGAAAACGATTGAAACAAGCGAAAACGACTTAAAATATTAAAAATATACAAAGCGAAGATTAATTGTTTGCATATTTGAATCTGTATTTACTTTATGTGAATTATTATTTCGTTATGCAAGGCATTTTCTCAAAAAATACGCAATAAATTACATAAATATCTAAATCTTTTTTTTTGTTCCTTACGTTAGAATAAAAAAAAAATCCAACTGATTTCAAAATGTCCAAAAGCTTTATTATGCAGCAATCTGCCTAACGACAAACAAAAACAAGCCGTCGTGGGTGTAAAAGACAATAGTCAATAGAGTTAAAATTCAAAATTACATCTAGTTTGATTGACGTCGTGTCTATCTAAAAAGTATGTAACGAAGGTTCTTGCAAAAAAAAAATGATTGGCTCTTCATATATAATTTCTAAATTCATTTTTGAACTATTTGAAATCATTCCTTTATTGTTCTAAAACTCCGTTAGTGTAGGTGTCTTCTATTACCGGTAATCTCGAAAGGCCGTTTATTTCTTCGAACTTTTTGAATAAAGGGAAAATGTAGGTCAACATTTTGAGAAAACACGAGGTAATTTCTAAGTAATTGTTGGCAACATTGATACTGAATGGTGGTCAGAGAAAGTAGAACTTCTTATGTTTAATAGTTTCGCCTTTTCTACTGATGAAAACGATGGCGACCTTGTATCAAGGTGGAAAGTTTATTATTGTTGATTTTGGTGTTTTTACTTTTTTTTGTAGAAATATTCTTTAACTTTACTTATCTTGGGTCAAAGTCAACAGAAAGGAACGAACAATAATCCTCTGTTATTTATTTTATTGTTAATATTTATTCAACGTAGCAGTTTTGTTATGAAATGTTAAAAACTAGCCGCTTGCGATGGCGAACTGGTTTGTGTTTCGTATGTGCAGACTGGTGGTACAAATCAACATACAAACAAATGAACTCTGAAGCGAACATAGTAATTATTTTGTTAACTGTAGGAGTAAAAATTAAATTGTATTACTTTTCTATGTTTTCAATATATTATGACTAACTGATAAAAACTAATCTTTAGAGCTGTATCCACTCTGACTAGTAATATTATGAATAGTAGTATAGAAATGAATAGTAATATTTGAATAGTAATGTATGTAATAGATTACTATTCATATATAGTAATATACATGAATAGTAATATTTGATTCAGGGTAACTAGACCTGTTGAAATTAAGTTCTAAAAATTTTCTGCCGTTCAAAAAATTAACAAACTGTAAATAAAAGCTTACCAAAATACGGAATAACATCCTCTTGTAATTTTATGCCATTTTAAAGTTTTTTAAAAAATTAAATTACAGCACGTCCACATAAGTACTTTTTTATGAATTATACATGGCCTACTGAGAAAAATAATATGGTTAAAACTAACAAAATATGGCAAAATTTACCGCATTTTTTGCTCTGTTGGACGAAAAAGCTCAGTAATTTTTACCGTAGCGCTTCGTTAATTACTTCGGTAAAATTTAAAATAAAATATAGTTTTATAATAAGTGATAAAATTTGTTAAATATGGAAAAATTTGGTCATTTTATCATGACACATTAAAGCACGGCATAAAATCATTTGTTTGGTTAAATTTACTTTTCAATTTTGTACTTTTTACTAAATGTGTGGTAATAAGAACTATAATTTTGAAATCAAAATTTCTGATAAACCGTCACAATATTAACGAAAAAATTACCAACTGTTCGGTAGTTTTACCCAAATTTGTTTTTTCTCTGTACATTGATTTCAGATTTATGAAATATTTCTCGAAAAAAACTAAAATTGCCTAAAATATCTCAATTTTTTTTAGTGCTCAGATATACTTACAATAACTCTTAATTGATTCGCAGTTTTTAAAAATAATCAATTTTAAAATAATTAAATGACAAAGCTGCAAATTGGTATTAAATTTAATACTTCAACTTCATCTATAGAGATCGCCCAGTCTACGAAGATATTTTTATTTATAGCTGAAATTGTATAACTTGTATTTGTCATTTTTTATAACATTTACGCGTTCAGCAAACAAATTACTGTTTAAAAAATAAATTCAAAAAAGCGTTTAAGCATTTAGCTCCGAAATATTTGACCATATCAAGACACCATTTGACAAGACTGCGAATTGGTATTAAATCAAGTACTTTATAGTTTTGAACTATAGAAATCGTTAAGTCTACGAAGACATTTCATATATAGTCGAAACTGCAAAACTTGAATCGGTCCTTTTTTCATACATATACGCGTTCAGCAAACTAATTGCTGTTTTGAAATAAATGCAAAAATGCTCTTAAGTTTTCCTCTCTGGAATATTTGAAGAAAAGCCCTGAAGTAATTGTTCAAAATCTCCACGCATCGCGAAGATACAACGGGGATTAACAAAACCGCCAAACATTACGTATTCTAATCACAAATTAAATGAACACTTTACCTGAAGATTTAACAATAGAGACTGTGTATAAATGTGATGGCCTTTAAAATAAGAATTGTTGCATCAGGAAATACTTTAGTAAACACTGGAAGAAAGCTACGACAAGATATGCTACCAGAATTGATTATAGGTTTTCTTCATCGCTTTCTTTTTAATACCCGTGGCCGTACGTTTTGAATAACGGCGTAGGTGATATCAGTTTGATCTAATCTTCTTTTAATGCTTCAATCTTAATATTTTGATTTCAGATGTTTTTAATGCAGAAATTTTATATCTGAATAAGTACTTGCTTTCGGAAAAAAATTCTTAAAATAGATTATCGTTTTTACTTTTAAATTTGCATTGATGGTTCCAATTCTTTTGAAAATTTTAGTATGAATAGGGACAACTAATAATATGGTTTTAAGAAAAAAGGAATATTTTTTTCCCCAATTTGCATGTTTGACAATATTTTCATAAAAGCATAAAATACGCAGAAATCAGAAGGATAAAGCACATTTAGATGGAAGTAGCTTTTGCAAAAATAAAAACTTGTATTTACTCACACTAGGCACTAGTGTGGCTTTCATACTTGATATTCTTCCAGTTTCTATCCAATTTAATAAAAAAATTAACTTTACATGTATAACTAGTGTAGTTTCCTTTGCTCAGAGGCATTTTATATTCAGTATCCTCAGTTTTCGTTTTAAAAAAAATCTACATTAGCAGAAAATACATTAGTGATACAGCAGCTGTTGAATTTTTTCAGTAAATAGTATACAAATTTCAGGAATTACCAAGCCCACCATTTTAAAAAAAATCTGAAGGACTTGAGGTAATAAAGTGATAAACCACACTTTTTCCAAAGGTGCAATTTTCTCTTTTCAAACTTTTCCTTTGTGTTGTTAATAAGAACTCAGCACGTTTCCGGAAACGCAACTGTATAATAAAACTAAATACATGTTTACATTGCTTACTTATAGAGTTAATTGTATTTTTCACTATACAGCTCTCCTGAGCAATTTGATATTGTGACTTATTACAATGTCGTAATTCCTTCACTTTGAAAAAGAACATCTTTGACTAGTCTAGTTAATGTCACGTTTTTTATTAAATATACGATTTTATAAAATTTAGATCAAAACAAAACATTATTAAATCATACTTGCCGAATCTCCTGCTTTTCGTTGAAGATTTTCTCTTTATTTTAATATTGTTTGCAAAATTTATAAGTCAATACTTTTATCTTTCCTTAACAAAGTTCATTTTTAATGATTTAAATCAGTTCTCACCAACCTTACTATAGCCGCTGTCGACGTTTGATAATTTTTCCGAGGCCTGCTGAGGGACGTTGACTGTTTATATTTTAGATTATTTTGATTAAATAATTTTAATTTGATTGCATTTAAATTGCTTTCAAATTAAAATACAGTTATATTACAGTATTGGTGCATATTTGGGTGACGTCACTCAGCTCCCGGTTAACTCGTTCATGGAAAATCACGCAAACCCGAAAGTAATACACCACAGTAATTAAATCGGAAATAATTTAATATTCCTTGTGCAGCCCGGTACCCAACCCACAGTCCGTTGCCTGGGGGTTGGATACCACTAAATATAAATGTTTTAAATGAATTTGTAAGAGCTCTATTTTAAAAATATAAAGTGTTTACGCAGTTAAAATAATTCTTGCTTACAATAATAAGATCAATTACCACTACGAAGAATCTTAACTCGAAAGAAACAGCAGCTATGTAAATAGTTATGTAAAAAACAGCAGCTATGTAAAATACAGTTCGTTTGTTTCCTTTTCTCATCAGGCGATAAATAAATTTACCGAAAAAAAATTGTTCCCATGCTTGAAAAAACTATTGTTTAAGATTATAAATCTGAGATATAAATAAATATAATAATTTATTATTCCAAGGTATAAACAGCTGACAATAAGTTTAATAAGTAAAGTTTTATTTATAAAAACATATTAAAAATACTAATACATAAAAAAGAGATTTTAATAATTTAATATAATTATTGAATCTTGTAAAAGAAGTTTTAATATGTTAAAATATGTAAATATATCTATTTATAATAATTTTTGTTTCTTTTTTCTTGCAGGGCCAGTCACAACAACAGTTTTTTGCTGATTCATATGATGAGGAGGAGTTCACACCGGTTGGTAAGTTAAACTACGCCTGGGTTATTCACATTTTCCGTTTTTAGAATACCACCGTGCATATTAAACACCTTTTCATTAAATAAATAATCTCAAGAAACCTAAGCGGTAAGATATTACACGGTTAAAAACTTTCCTTTGTGATTTGAATTCGTAGGCGACTTAACGTTTTTTCAAATCACTTTTGTTTCTTCTCATTCACGTCTGGCAGGGCTTGAAAATGGGCGTCTGTTTTTGAGCGCTTGAAACATGTCGACTGTTTTTTTCCAATTTATATATTTTTGAAATGAAGTTTTTAATCAAGTAATAACTTTTCAGTGTTTTCTTAGCTTTTTTTTTAAATGAATATAATGCTTTTTTTGAAGTTAACTCTCTTTCTTTATTTTCTTTCCTCAGACTTAGTTTTTAGCACCGTTATAGCTTGATAAGTTAGATAGAATTCGCATAGCTTTACACTAGTGCCATTAAATTCTATATTTATTCTAAACTTATAAATGTTTTACAAATAGATACTGCACTTTATTTATTTTTGTTTACTTTAATCAAAAACGGATTTTTATTTTTCTTCCTTTTATTTTTCGGTCAGATATGGTTTCTAAAACCACTTATATTTGTTTACTTTAAATGCTTTATCTACGTATTTTGCTTGAGTTTGCCACATTATATCTGAATTTTGTTTATAGGAGACTAAGCCATCAATTTAATGTAATTTGATGAAACACTGTAGAAAATCAGGTTCCAAATCGAAGTTAACTGAACAGGGACTATATTTTTGTCAGATGTGATTATTATACCAAAAATTCAGCGCAAAATTTTTTTTTAATCTGCTTTACCACTTAGAATTTAATGTTCATTTATGTATTATAAAAATTAATCATTTTCCATTTATTTATCGCATGCACATATCTGATCTCTTTTATGCTTTTTGAGAACGAAATTTCGTCCCTCAAGTTGTTCTTTATCATTTATTTCATAAATTTGATTTAAAAATTATTCTGATCAGTTATAACCAAATAAATATATTAATTGCCCCGTAATCACAGCCCTTAATCCAGATTTTTCGCATCTATGAAAAAAAATTAAGAAAATTCTACGCGTTATGGATCATAAATTAATAATTAAACGAGAGAGAATTTAAGTCCTATCGAAATCCCTCGAATCACAAGTATGGAAAGCTTAATGAAAAAAAAAAACTGATGGAGTTAGCGGATTTTTCTAATAACAGCCTCCTAGAGCCCTGGTGGCTCAGGGGATAGAGCTCTCGTTTCCTAATGAGGTGACCCGGGTTCAAACCTACCGATAGCTGGTTGATTTGAATAGCACACCCGGCTTTCACCGACCGCAGTGCTGACGTAAAATATCCATAGTGGAAGACGGATAATGGGTTAGAGTCCCTTTGCCATCAGGCTTACCATGTAAGGTTTCCCTCTCCATGTAACGCAAATGCGGTTAATTCCATCAAGAAATCCTCCACGAAAGCAAGTTTCTCTCGTGTACTTGATCCAGGAGTTCCCTTGTCTTCTGGATTGGGTTCAAAATTATAAGGCTATGGAGTTCAATATTAGTAGCCATAAACCCTAAATTGGGTCGGCTGTTCAACGACGGTTATAAAATAATAATAGCCGTGGTTGTTCAGAGATAGAGAGTTCGCTTTCCAATCAGGTGAACCGGTTTCGAATCCCTGCGATGACTGGTTGATACGAATTCATCAACCGGCTCGCACTGACCACAGTGATGACGTAAAATATCCTCAGTGGTAGACAGATCATGGGTTAGAGCAACAATTTTTTTCGTCTTCGCTTAAATATTAATTTGTAAACCCTAATGTGCAAATTTTTGACTTCATTTATGAAAAAGATTCAAAAATATATATTAATGGCGGTTATTACGTAACATCCTAAATAAACCTGTGGTGAAGTAAAGCGCAATTTCAATATGTAATTTTTCTTTTTACTTATGCTAATTTTATACAACAATTTTGCTCCTTCCTTGCTTCAATATTAATTTGTTGATTCTAATATGCAGACTTTTTGACTTCATTTATGAAGAAGATTAGAAAGTAAGAGATTAAGGGTGGCCTTTACGAAATATTCTACATAAATCCGATAAACCTGTGGTGAAATTTTTAAGTACAATTTCAATATGCATAAAAAATCTATTTTATACTTTTGATTATAGCTGTTGGGAAAATTTTTACGTAAAAAACTTACAATTGTTATAAGATGTGGATATTTTACATAATTACATTTTCTTTTTTTTCCAATTACAGTAACACATAGGTGCGAGCGAGGCCAAATGATAATTGAAGTAACGACACAACAACCATTTAGGGGATTAGTCCATCCTAGGGATTACAGATCAGGACCATGCGTTGCCCTGGGTAGAGGAGGCCGCACAACAACACTTACTCTTGACCTTTTTGTAGAAAAAGATGATCCAAGGTACTGTGGGGTACAAGTCAGAAAGGTAAGTGCATTTTTATCTACATTCACTTAAATTTTATACTCATTTAAATAGTTCATGAACCATAATCGATCAAATTTAATGCAATATTATACTAAGTAATGCAAACCTCAATATGATACTAAGATTAACCACATCATCATATTTCCCCAACTTGATTTCATGATATTATAATTCAACTTAAAATGAGTCATTGAAATTCTTCAACACATTATTAATGCTTCGGCAATTTTGCACCCTATTATGGTTCCAGGTACCGATACTATTATTGAAGGCTGAACTATTGTTTATGGGATGACTTCTATGTCTTAACCCAAACATGTTTTAATCAATTTTTTAGAAAAATCGGCAGCCAGAAAAATCGGTTTAATGTTGAACCAAATATCGGTTAACATAGAGGTTAATAATGGCGTGAACTTTATAATTTTACTCCATTAAAAAGTTTGGAGCATGGTGAACCATAATCGATCAAATTTACTGCAACCTTAATATGGTGCTAAGTTAAACATATCGTATTCTCTCAACTTGATTTCATCATGTTATGATTCAACTTGAAAGGAAACCTGGAATTTAACGCAATATTAAGGTTCCACCAAATTTGCTCCGTATTATGGTTTCAGGTGCCGATACAACTGTTCAACTCTGAACCGATTTTTATGAAGAAACTTCTGTGTTTTAACCCAACTATGTTCTAGTCAATGTTTCGATGCACTGTCAGAAAAATTCGATTGAACGTTGAGCCATAATATAGATTAACACAGAGATTAATAACAGAGTACACTTCATAATTTTACTTTACAAAAAAGTTTGGAGCATGGATGAACCATAATAGATCAAACTTAATGCAACCTATTATGGCGCAGTTGAACCATATCATCCTATTGTCTCAACTTGATTTCGTGATACTATTCTACTTGGAAAAAAAAACATGTAATTCAACACAGTAAGGTTTCATCAAATTCTCCCCGTATTATGGTTCCAAGTAGGGATATTATTGTTCTACGTTGAACTGATTTTTATGAGAAGATGTCTGTGTTTTGACCCAACTATGTTCGAATCAATTTTTCAATGCGCTGTCTGAAAAATCGGTTCAACATTGGACCGTAATATAGGTTAACACAGAGAATAATAAGAGTACTCTTCATAATTTTTATTTGTTCATAAGTTTAAAGCATGGTGATACAATTGTTCAACGCTGAACCGATTTTCATGAGAAGACTATGTTTTAACCAAACTAAGCTTTTTCACTCGCAGAAACGTTGTTTCAAAGTTGAACCATAATATCGCTACATTGAAAATCATTATAGTGCAAATTTGACTCCCCCAGAATAAGGTGAACTGTTCCCGTTCAAGTTTAAGTAGGATTAATCTGCATAGTAATATGGTTCAACTTATCAGCATACCAAGTTTGCAAAAATTTTGAACGATATTTTCGTTCAATATGGTCCAAAACTTTTTTGTTTTGTTAAATTTTTTTGTCTATTCTGTCTAATATTGAAAGAAAAGTCCTGCCATTAAAGAACATTAGTACAAGTCAATTTCATGAAGCTAATGTTAAAATAAATCTGAAATAATCTTAAAATTATTAATTAAAATAATTTAAGGAAAGACTTTTTTTTCTTCTAAAAGTGACATTTTTACCTCAAGCTGTTTTGTTGCATTGTTTAAAAATATGTACTGTTATTATATTATTGCTGAACTAATATATTCAGTTATATTCAACAGTATAATACACAAAAAATTTTATTGCCGTCATGAAAACCACGCGGTATTTCTGAAAAAATTTCTCCTAATATTTAGAAAATTTGGATTATCATTTGGACTATATTACCAAAAAACATTCATTTGCATAAAAAATGTGCCATCCTTAAATAAAAATAACATAAATGAAGACATATTTTGAATTATAAATTACTCACAAGTAAAAATTGTTTAAAATTCAAAAATCTCCTTAATAATTTGAAAATTTGGATTATCATCATTTAATTAACTAAAGCCACATTTGTATGAAAATGGTGCCATTTTAAATAAAAATAACATAAATTAAGGCATTTTTTCGAACTAAAAATGACTCAAAAGTAAAAATTTTTAAAATTCGAAAGCTAATTTTTACATATTCCTTGTAGAAAATATGAAGTTTTACAGTTCTACATTAATAAGCGTGTTTCGTTAGTTCTATACACGACAGAATAGTTATGAAGTTTTCTAACTGATCGCTTAGTTCCGCACCGTTAAAGACAAATTTTGTGTTCTTTGATTGATGAAGAACAAATTGAGACATTACACAAACTTTCACTAACTTCGAAGAATTAAGAGTACTTTGACTTATACTAATAGTTGTAACGGGAAAATAAATGCCTGATGCAGTCGTCAAGGGTACTTGAGCATTACTAATGATTGATATTTATGGCTTGTTTCGAACTATGATGTAACTATTTAGGATAGTAAATGATATAAATAGACTTTGCCTCCTCAAATAAACCATTTGGTTTCAAACTCAGCTCAAATCGCTTCCGTTTTGCAATTTTTTGCCTCCCGTGTTTGACAATGATTCAAGACCCAATCAACAATAGAAGAAAATGAAGTCCTCTCCTCATCTCCAGTTTTTGAAATTTAAGAATGAATGCTCAGTTTTAATGGTTTGGGGACTATTTTAATAATTTCTCAAAGCAATTTCCCCCCTCTTAATTGGCACCCAGTTATACATTTTTGTACATTAATCTGCTATCTTGAACAATTATCTAGTTTTGTACTTCCGTTTTGCAATTTTTTTCCTCCCGTATTTGACAATGAGTCAAGACCCAATCAACAATAGAGGAAAATGAGATCCTCTCCCCATCTCCAGTTTTTGAAATTTAAGAATGAATGCTCAGTTTTAATGGTTTGGGGACTATTTTAATCATTTTTCAAGGCAATTTCGCCCTCTTGTCACCCAGTTATACATTTTTATACATTAATCTGCTATCTTGAACAATAATCTAGTTTCGTACATTAATCGTAATTATATCAACATACTGTAGTTTTGAAATGCTGGCAAATTTTCATTTTGGAACTGCAGTATTGAAATGAAGGCAAATTTTTGTTTTGGAACTCTATTATAGAAATGTGGGCAAATTTCTTTTTGGAATTGTAGTATTCAAATGGGTGAATTTTCGTTTCGGTATTGAAATGCGGGCACATTTTCGTTTCGAAACTGTAGTACTGAAATGCAGGCATATTTTCGTTTTGGAACTGTAATATTGAAACGTAGACAAATTTCAGTTTCGGAACCGTACTTATGAAATGCAAGAGAATTTCTGTTTCAGAACAGTAATATTTGAAATGCAGGCAAATTTTCGCTTAGGAACCGTGTATGTGAAATACCGTCAAATTTTCCTTTAGGCATTGTAGTATTGAAATGCATAGAAGATTTTGTTTGAGATCTGTAGAATCGAAATGCAGACAAATTTTGATTTCAGAACTGTAGTGTGCATTAAAACATAGTCCAATTTATGAAATCGGAGATATTAGTTGTACCTAATTATATTGAATTTGTCCTTTAACTTACTATGTAAGTGGCATACCCTCAAGCAAAAGGCATCTTTCTCGTTAACTTGTTCTGAAACGAAAGCTTACCAGGATAGCAAAACTAGCAAATGAGAAATATATACAGGGTGTTTATGAAGTCCCGGACCCATTTTGATGTTTAATAACTCATAAAATAATAAAGATAGATTAAAATTAATAACATAAATGGTTAGATAGACTCAAAAGGCTTCATGACCCTTGTCAATGAACTTCCACGTGTGCCCCAATCGTCGCACGGAGAATATCAAGTCGATAGTCAATTTCACGCCAGGTGGCGGCAAGCATGTCGGCATCCACAGAGGCTATTGCTGTTGTAATTCTGGCTTTTAGGTCATCAATGCTCGACACGATTCTCCTGTAAACATTGCTCTTATAAATCCCCCCAAAAAAAGTCCAGCGGCGTTATATCAGGTGATCTGGGTGGCCAAGAAATTGGACCTCCTCGCCCAATCCATCTTCCTGGAAAATGGTCATTCAAAGAACTACGAACGATGATACCCCAATGAGGTGGTGCACCATCTTGTTGCAAAAGACATGTGGCTGAATCTCTTCTAGTTGTGGAAATACGAAGTTTTCCAACAGGCCTAAGTCAACACCTCCTAGAAAAGAGTAGGCCTCTGCACGGGTTACCATAAATATCCTTTAGTAGTCCAAACGTAATGACATATGTCATATTTTCAACCACTGCGCAGCTTAGTACCCCGAACATAATGACATCTTTCTTGTTTTTCATCAACTGCGCAGTTAACTTCGTCACATCGGACTACTAAATTGATCCGTGCTGAGGCCTTCATACTTCTAGGAGGTGTTGCCTAAGTATACGACTGATGAGACCGTCTTTTCTGTAAAAAATGACTTGATCGTGTCTGACACGCTCAACGTCAAAATCACTTGTGCAGGGACGTCCGGAACGTTTCTTATCTGCGATACTTCCAGTTTCTAGAAAATTCTTTTCCCACCGCAAGATGCTGCTTTGGAGGATCTTTTTGGTAAATTCTTCTGCAATTTCTCTGTGCTTGCACTATCGATTTCGTTTCTATGAACCACCATAAAATATGTGCTTTCTCTTGTGGTGTATGCATTCTCCTTAATATCCGCTTGAATAAAACATCACATAGAGAAGTACTACATCGAACAAACACATCAAAAGTCAACATAACATTGCAATAGTTGCCAAAAACAAGAGAGAGAAAAATGCAATTAATAAGCAGACGATATTTAGAAAAGTACAGATATTTAGACTGGAAAGTGAAATTATCTGAAATTAACCACACACGCAGACGATATTTACAAAAGTAAAGATATTCAAACCTGAAAAGGNTTCCTTAATATCCGCTTGAATAAAACATCACAGAGAGAAGTACTACATCGAACAAACACATCAAAAGTCAACATAACATTGCAATAGTTGCCAAAAACAAGAGAGAGAAAAATGCAATTAATAAGCAGACGATATTTAGAAAAGTACAGATATTTAGACTGGAAAGTGAAATTATCTGAATTAACCACACACGCAGACGATATTTACGAAAGTAAAGATATTCAAACCTGAAAAGGAAAATATATGAGTTATTCCATCAATAAATGCCATAAGTTTGTTTATATCTTCATTATTTTATGAGTTATTAAACATCAAAATGGGTTCGGGAATTTATAAACACCCTGTATATAGTGCAAAGGTACGCCACAAACATTAATAGCACTAGATAAACAAATTTAATATCATTCTTCATGCCAAAAATGTTCCATTTCCTGAAGTCAGTCAAGTTTGTAAATTTTAAAATATAATCAAAATAAAGTAAGGCAATCCAGAAATGCCAGATAGTTCATTTTGTGTTATAATGATATGGATGCAAATGATAATATCAGAAAGGTTGTCCAACTAACAAAAGAAAATGGCAACAGTATATTAGGATAGCGTATAACCCGTGTTCTTTAGCTAGATGTTAACGGCAATGTGTAAAACACCAGTAATCTGCATATTAAACATAATTTCTGCAGTTTTTGTTTAAAGTATAAAATTTTAGAATAATTTTATACTTTACCTTGACATTCTGTTGGATGACATGCTGTTTAGGCGAAGCGAAAAAGAAATCATTATAAAGCTACTTTTTAAAAAACGTTCTCATCTCAGAAATATTAATGACATAAAGAATTGCGAAAGACTGCGATTAAGGAAGTAGATTATCAGTGTTACAGACAAAGTTTTAAATCTCTCATTCTGTAGAATATTACCTATACATTTAAAAGAATGTCTGGTGTATTTTTTTTTCTCCTGCTTCATTAGCGTTGCTGGTGTGAAAGGTGGAGGGCGTAGTATTTGCACCCTTCAAAGATTAAAAATCTCAAAAATTCTCCTTAGCATTTTTTTAAAAACAAATTCAAAAATTTTAATTGATTTTTTTTTATTGCAAAAGCACTTGACTTTACATCATTGGTCCCCATGCATCGAAGATGCATGAGATTGGAGCATATAAAGCAAAAACTGAACCATTGAACAATACCAGAACAATGTAATAACAAAAACAATAAATACTCGCAAAACGTGAACCACTTAAACATGAACGAGAATCAGTCGCTGGATACCAATTGCTCAATTGTTTTATACATTATATAAATTAAGAAAAAATAAGAGCTTTAAAAAAAGTGTATTATAACTTAGTACCTTTCAAATATTGAACTCCCTTGACGCCCATGCTTTGGTTTGGCATTTTATAGAATGTGAAAAATGTTTTATCGTTTCATATTTTGCAGGCTGCGTCTCAGTATTCTATAAAATGTGGATAATGCAGAATTCCAAACTTTTACGATAGCGTACAGTGGGCAAAATATATAAAAAAAAACAGACAACCCTGAATAACTTTTGATCTTACAATCGGATTTTCACGCTCTAGGACTCAATCTTGAATGTTTAAGGGGATGACCTCAAAAATGCTAATTAATTAGTGCAGACGATATTTTAAGTCACAAAATCAGATACAAAATTTTGTATGGAACTATCTTTGGATCAACGAATTTTATAACTGTGTGCAAAAAAATTTACAATTCCTCCTAAAAGTTCTCGGGATATGGCGAAATACGAAGCAATAAAATTAGCATAAAGGAGCGCAGACTTTGGACCTCTGTCCTGACCTAACTATGGGATCATATTTTCTAGAGTGCGCCCCCCCCCCTATATTTTGGGGGTCAGAAATTCGACTTCATCGAAAAAAAGGTATGCTTATTCAGAGAAAGTGCGTTTTTGTGCCTGTTTTCGTAACTTAATATATAGTTTGCACTAATTAATTAGCATATTTGAGGTCACCCTTTTGAATCATTAGGTTTGAGTCCTAGAAAGTGAAGATCCGATCTAAATTTATTCAGGGTGGTCCGTTTTTTACTTTGCGCATTATACATCGCTTGGAATTTAACTTTATTCCAGGTTCAAAGCGTAAACTTGCCTTCAAATTTCTTTGCTTTACTCAAATTTCTCCTATAAAATGTTCATAATCTCTTCAGACCCGATTTTTAAATAATCTCAAAAAATGAGCTTTCAACTTAAAAACATGTATTTTAGAAGGAAATAAACTCATAAATGCGACTAAATAAATGAAATTCTATTAATTTTTCTGATTATTTTTTAATTATTACCTCAAATCAAACGTTATAAATTTTAGCATATTGTAGAATATTTTTATAGTTCATTTTGGTCATGAAAGAGAATCCATTGGATTTATATATTTATGTGGCATAAAACTGCCCGAATTATTAAATTAATTTTCTTACCGATCTTTATTAATCGTAATTAAAAACTTCGATCAACGCAGATAAATCCAATTAACTTTTTACACAGACGCTTTGTAAAATCATACAAACATAAACAAATATCATAAACTATTATTTTAACTGATTAAATTAAATCAAATGTTGTGTAATATATTCTCGATTGGGTCCCAAGAGATATAATTAAGTAAATATTGTTATATTCATCAATACTCTGAAAGAAACAACTCTAAATTGACCACCCGCAATAGACAGCCTGCTTCTTAACCAAACGTGAAGCTAATTAATCGAATGATTTGTATTCTCTTCCTCAAACAGAGTGATTAACATTCTGTTCTCGTAAAAGACATTTCATGGATATTTGCATATGATGATGACATTTTCATTACGTAATTATGACTAGGCTGTTTCGCCTGTTCTATTTCTACAATTAACAAGCATTACGTGTTCCAAACAGCAATTACGCCAGTATGCACACTTTTTTATTTTTTTTAAACTGCTTTTAAAGTTTTGACGAAAGCAGTAAGGGTGTTTTCCGTAGATTTATGTCAAGAAAAAAATAAGAAAAAGTTTAAAACTCGAAGTAAAACTTTGATTTTAATTCCATGTACTATACCTGGCTGAACAAAATTGACTGAGTTTTAAAATTGATGAATAGCTGAAAGCAAAAGTCATTCAAAGCAAAAAGCAATTTTGACGAAAATTTCAAATTTTTTTTTATTGTCTGTGTTTAATTTTATAACCGTCATTGAACAGCTGTCTCAATTTTTGAGTTCACGACTTTTATGTTCAACTCCATAGTCTTGTAATTTTGAACCCAATCCAGAAAACAAAGGAGCTCCTGGATCAAATATAGGAAGAAATTTGTCTGATTACACAATAACTATCTGCTAAACATTGATACTTATGTTTGTATTAATCTGTATAAATAATTTTAAACCTCATTATAATTTATGGACTAGGTAAATTTTTAACCTTCCCGAGTGTAGTGATCACTATAATTTTTAAACTATACCATCAGAAGAATATATTAATATAATCAAAATCTTTAACTTTTTTACGTAAAAAAGTTTAATTTGTAACTAAACATAATGTTGTAATTTAATTTAAAAAAAATAGTTTTTATATTTCACGAATTTCATTTCGTTTTTTTTTTAATTTTTTTATTAGCAATTCTAATATATTCATTATATTGATAACATTTGAATCTTTTAAAATACCACTTTTCATTTCATTTTAAGTTATTTCATCAATTTACTTTTTTAATACACTCAACAATAAAATTGTTTCTTTATTTTCAGCCTAATTCTGGCGATGTTACAGTAGCACTAGCTGTGAGAGTTCACCCCACATTAGAATTGTCAGAAGATAAATACTTTTTCTTAACATGTGGAAAGGCCGGTTTTAGAAATGCCAGGTAAGATTTCTAAAAATCCATTCTCAATTTTATTAGTGTTACATGCGTTCAAATAGATGAGGTTTCAAGCTGCGAAACTTTGCAATTTCCATCCACAATTTATTTTTACTCTAAACTAAAATAATTTCTGCTATAAACTCTGTTATAGATATATATATGTTACGGCCAAAGCCCGAAGTCAGCCAATTCGCGATCTGGCCGGCCAGATAGGCCAAGAACGCTGTAAATTGGCTGGCCAAAGTGCGAAATTTTCTTGATTTCGGGAATTGGTCGGCCAGATCGCGAAGGGGCCACGATGTTCCGGCCAATGTCCGATCTTTTCTTAATTTCATTTGAGACAAAGTAAAAAATTAAAATTTTTTAAATTTTAATTTAAAAACTTGTTTATTTTTTATATTTTTAAATTAGAAGATTTATATTTTTAAATTAAAAAAGAAAACAAAAGGGGCAATATTAGCAAATTAACTTTTTAATAAAACAATTAAATAGACAATTTAATAATGATTATTAAATTAATATGATTATTTAATAGACAATTTAAAATCTTGTCTATTTCTTATATTTTTAATTTAGAAGATTGATAAGAATTATTTATATAATTATAGAAGGCCGCCAAAGTAGAATATTCACAGATCGTTTCAATTATTTCGCACTTTGGCCGGAACATAATGCATAATGTTTGAGATCATTCGTAAGAGGACATTTTTTTCCTCCTTGTTCGAATTAATTTACGTTAATTTTCAGATCATTAAAATGGAATGTCAAGTTAAGAAAAAAATAAACATATTTAACATCTTTTTGCCTTTAATTAAGGTTCTACAAGTTGCTCGTGACATTTGTGCTGCGTGTAGAGAGGGTGAAATAGCCGAAAGAAACGCCGGTTATTAGTACGTCAAGTTAAAAAGGGGAAGTTTTGAACTAAAAACGCGATTCTTTTTGGCCAATGAGTTGAGATCAATAAAGAACAATTAAACCATTTTTTGAGCGAAATTCGCGTCAAATGGCAAAAGGAATCTGCAGAGAAAATGAAATGCTTCCACGCTTTACACTTTTTTTCAATTTTTAAATAAAAGTTAGAGTGGAAATAAATTATTAAAGATACTTTAACTTTTTAAAAAAAGAAAAGAAAGAAGAAGAAAAAAAATGGTGGCGTTTATGAAGTTTTGGAACTCGACAGTACAATTGAAGACATGAAAATAATTTCTGTAGCAGATTTTCTTAATACAAACATGTTAGAGTTACACAAATTATATTCTGTTATGTGTTCTTTTAGAGAAAGTTGAACTAACTTCAGTCACTGAAGTTATTTTCCCTTAAAATAAAATGAAAAGAAATAAAAATCTGACTAGCGCTGACAAAATTTTGCAATTGAACAACTCAAATAAACTTTTTTTTTCTTGAGAGATCAAAATGATATTTTTGAAGAAAAAAAATTGAGATTTAGGAGGGAAAGATACTAAAAAACAATCTTCGAATGCTTTGGAGTAAAAGAAAGTCCCAAGCTCATTTGATAGCAAATAATCGACAGGTAAATTAAAATTATTTTCGTTTGATAGCAAGCCAAAATCCAAAGAGTGCAAAAGTTATGATGTCAGAGAAGAGTTAGGATTTTAGAGATTTTGACAAATGCAAACTTACAAGAAATAAAGACAAAGCACAATTTCTTGTCAAAACATAATCTTTAAGCTAATTTAAACAAATTTACTAAAGTGTCCCTAAGAACCTTCATCTGCTCACCTCTTCAATAGTCCTATCATATAATACTAAAGTAACACACATTATTGGGTAAATTTATTAAATAAATAATAAAATTAAAACTATTTTGCAGAAATGAAACGTCTCGTGTAACTTAAATAAAAAATAATAAAAGTATAATTATTTTACAGAAATTAAAACTCTCGTGCAATTTTAATAAAAAATAATAACAGTATAATTATTATAAAGAAATGAAACCTCTCGTTTAACTTTGATAAAAAAATAAATAAAAGTACAATTATTTTATTATTTTGCAGAAATGAAACCTCTCGTGCAATTTTAATAAGAAAATAATAACAGTATATAATTATTATAAAGAAATGAAACCTCTCGTTTAACTTTGATAAAAAAAATAATAAAAGTACAATTATTTTATTATTTTGCCGAAATGAAACCTCTCGTGCATTTTTAATAAGAAATAAGAACAGTATAATTATTATAAAAAAATGAAACCTCTCGTTTAACTTTGATAAAAAAAAATAATTAAAGTATAATTATTTTATTATTTTTTAGAAATGAAACCTCTCGAGTAACTTTAAACTTTTATCAAAATGATAAAAAAGTTCAAGAGCTTATATACAGTCAAAAGTATGAACTTAGAGCAGCTATGACAAAACCTGATGGTAAGTATCTCAGATCTCATATATTAATTTGTATTTCGTAAAAATGAAAGATAAAATGCTCCTACAATGCAATACTGAATAAAATATTCTCTTGTTTTTCAGATATTCACAAATTAAAAGTGAGGTCATGTCTTAGCTTCGCTCCTAATAATACAGAAGTGCAACTAATTGACTCCAATGGGTAAGCATTTTTAATTATTATTTTAAAAGAAAACCTTGTATAAATGCAGTTTTTTATCAATGACCTATGAGAATTTTGTAAATGACTATTTTAACACCAGTTTCTTTCAAATTTATTTTCTTTTAATTTCAATTTAAAATGCCAGAGGGTGAAGTCGGTAAAGGCGTCACTCAAACAGCTGGGTGTCATGAGTTCGCTCCTGGCAACTATGAGCAACAGAGTGCACGTTAAATCTGCTTCGGCGAAATTCACCTCATTGATTGCGGTGTGGAAGTTTGGAGAGATGGTTAACTAAGATACTGTCCAAGTCATCTGACCTAGGTCCAAAAAACGTGATATTCCTATCATGGCCGCAAAAAGCCGTCCAGCAGTGAATATCCGTCCAGCAGTGAACTGATAGACACGGTTCCCATAAGAACACCGAAGTTAAGCATCGCTGGCTGCGGTCAGTGTGTGACCGCTTTCATCAGCCTGACTAAGGACTGAGGATGCGCGGTATCGGTCCTCGACGAGGACTTGAACGAGAAGTTCTCGTTTAACTGTTCTACCTTAAAGTGCTTGACTTCGCGCGCAGGTCGTTTTTCTACCTCACTGTGTCTTTCGCTTCATTCTGTGTTTCAAGATTCAAGGTGCTCATTACAGAATCAAGCAATCGTATTTGAATATCAAGAGGATTCTATGCAAATAAACAAAAAGGTCGAAACGCAACAGTGTAAACTCAGTTGATTAATTCTGTAAGTGCGGCGCTGCATAAGTGATTTATAGATCGTTACTCGATTTTTAAACTGTTCCATTACATGGACAGATTTGTACAAAAATTTCCCTAATGAAAAACAAGGGAAATTTATACTGGTACGCAACCAGATTGTGTCGTATATGTATAAACTTAGTTATTTAATCAATTAACTGTTCCACTATATGAGTAAATTTGCACAAAATGTCCTTACCAAGCAGTTTATCCATTGAGTACCATAATGCTAGTAAGCAATCACGTTGTATAGTATTCCGAACTAATATTCGGCTCCACAGCTAAATATAAAATTCAAATAAATTTCATAATATATAAAAAATGATTTAACATTGTATAAAATTTAGTGAATTGGGTATACTATAGCCTATGTCACAGGTTGTGTTATTCCTACTAAATTTAACCCATGAACGGCATTTTCTGCGAGCCTAACTGCAAGCCACAAATAAACAAACGAAGTGTTTGATCGTTTAAATAGCTGCTCGCCAGATTTTATTGCATTATAAAGAAAAGTAATTGATATTCGATTTTTGATTAATAATTGATTTATGTGGATAGTGGCATNATTTTGCAGAAATGAAACGTCTCGTGTAACTTAAATAAAAAATAATAAAAGTCTAATTATTTTACAGAAATGAAAACTCTCCTGCAATTTTAATAAGAAAATAATAACAGTATATAATTATTATAAAGAAATGAAACCTCTCGTTTAACTTTGATAAAAAAAATAATAAAAGTACAATTATTTTATTATTTTGCCGAAATGAAACCTCTCGTGCATTTTTAATAAGAAATAAGAACAGTATAATTATTATAAAAAAATGAAACCTCTCGTTTAACTTTGATAAAAAATAATAATTAAAGTACAATTATTTTATTATTTTTTAGAAATGAAACCTCTCGAGTAACTTTAAACTTTTATCAAAATGATAAAAAAGTTCAAGAGCTTATATACAGTCAAAAGTATGAACTTAGAGCAGCTATGACAAAACCTGATGGTAAGTATCTCAGATCTCATATATTAATTTGTATTTCGTAAAAATGAAAGATAAAATGCTCCTACAATGCAATACTGAATAAAATATTCTCTTGTTTTTCAGATATTCACAAATTAAAAGTGAGGTCATGTCTTAGCTTTGCTCCTAATAATACAGAAGTGCAACTAATTGACTCCAATGGGTAAAAATTTTTAATTATTATTTTAAAAGAAAACCTTGTATAAATGCAATTTTTCATCAACGACAAATGAGATTTTCGTTAATGATTTTTTTAGCACCTTGCTTCTTTTAAATGCTTACAAATTTATTTCCTTTTAATTTCAATTTAAAATACTTGTGGGCGCAGTCGGTAAAGGCGTCACTCAAATAGCTGGGAGTCATGAGTTCGATCCTGGCAACCGACGTATATCAGCAACAAAGTGCACGTTAAATCTGTTTCGGCGGAAATTCACCTCGTTGATTGCGGTGTGGAAGTTTGGAGAGATGGTCAGCTACTGTCCAAGTTCTCTGACTGAGGTCCAAAACACGTGGCATTCCTACTATGGAAGTAAAAAGATCAAGTCCGTCCCGAAGTGGACTGATCGTAAAGACGCGATTCCCAGTAGAACACCGAAGTCAAGCATCACTGGCTGCTGTCAGTGCAAGGGTAAGTGACAACTTTCATCAGCCTTACTTAAGGACCGAGGGTGAGAGGTATCGGTTCTCGTTAAACTGTTCTATTGTAAAGTGCTCGACTTCGCACGCAGGTCGTCGGGCTACCGAAGCAGAAGATCAAAATTACGATGGCATGTCTCGGGATCATCCTCAGGAATGTTTCCCAGACCGTCGCCAATAGACCATTAAGCAGCCCTAGTGCGACGTAAATAAGGTACCTACCTATCTACAAAAGATGAAGTCTCGAAAACGTCCGACATCTTTAATTCTTATTTCCAAACTTTTCTTGCCTATTTAGTTCCTCTGTCCCATTGAGAAACTATTTTAACCATTTGTAGTTCATTCTGTGTTTTTCCACATTTAAGGTGCTTCATTATATAATCGAGCAATCATATTTGAATAACAAGAGGATTCTACGCCGATAAACAAACAGATCGAAACGTGCCAGTGTAAACTCAGTTAATTAATTTTATAACTGCAGAGCTACATAGGTGATTTATAGATCCAGTTACTCGATTTTTAATCTGTTCAGGGTTGCCACAGTAAAAAATTAACAAAAATAGTTGCTTTTAGTAGCCTCAAGCATGAAAATAGTTGCCTAAAACTATAAAAATAGTTGCCTGAACAGGAGCAAAAATTTATCAAAAATAGTAGTCAAATAATTAAAATTGTAGCTTAATTGTCAAATACTATGATAAGGACTGGTTGATGACAGAAATTTTAAATCGTGATACATCGTCCGTTAGACATCGCGATTTAGCATATGCTCAGAAATTATCTATGGGAAATCAATCAAAAATAAATAAAAAGGAATAAATCTATTACAAAAGAAAATATTGATTCTAAACATATTCTACTATAATATCAATATCATTGCTTAATTTTTTCAATTAAAATAATAAAGAAGTCAAAGTAAAAGCAAACCCAAGATTTATCGGTTTAAAAATAATAATACTGTAACAAAATACTTTACATACGTGCATTAAAATTAAAAGAAAAAAAACGAAAGTAGAAAACAAACCAAAGAAATGTTCACTTTAGAAAAAAAATTATTTTTTTAAAATTATTTGTTGGAAAAAAAACATGCTTTTGAAACATCATTAGACCCTCTTTTATTCAATTATTTAAAATAATATAAAGTATTAACTAATGGTCAAATTCTGTATTGAATAAATGTAAAAATATTTTTACTTATTTATTATTATTTTCGTTTTTGAAAATAAAATTGACTAAAAATTTATTTCTTTAAAAATGACACTGACTGTCTAACAAATTATAAAACAAACAAGTATTGAAAGAATTTTAATAAAATTAAAAAAAAAATACTTTAAGTACTAATGTTAAATTATTAAAAAGCGTCCAAACATTACTAAGCTCTTTATTTAATTTTTTTTAAAAATTTTGTTTTTTAACTAATAGCCAAATTTTTTTAAAACTTTGTTTTCAGTTTCTCAAAAATAAAAGCAAATTAAATAAAAGTAAGCTTTATTTTAATTTTTTTATAAATAAAAATAACTGAACATTTATTGGGTTAAAAATAATCAAATTATTATGCTTACCTACATTAAATAAATTTGAAAAAAAACTAACTTTTTATAACAAAATTAAGTACAAAATACCCCTATTAAATTGTATCACTTAAAATGAAAAATAATAATTGAAAAAAACCAATACAGAAACTTTTTTAATTTATAGTTTCTTTTCATTGATCAGAACGAAAGTTTAAGATAACAGCGATTGTGCAGCAATCACAAAGTAACAGTAGGTCTACGAAAAATAAGTATAAGTAGAAAAATAACTTCGCTAAGAGTAAAAAAGTCTCCCAATAGTCGCCTAAGGCCGAAAATAGTAGCAAATAGTCGCCTGTGGCAACCCTGACTGTTCCATTACAAGGGCAGATTTGTACAAAAATTTCGCCATTGAAAAACAAGGGAATTTAATACTGCTAAGCAACCAGATTGTGTCGTACATGTATAAACTTAGTTATTTAATCAATTAATTGTTCTACTACATGAGTAAATTTGTACAAAAATCTCCTTACCAAGCAGTTTATCCATTGAGTACCATAATGCTAGTAAGCGATCACGTTATGTGGTATTCCGAACTAATATTCGGCCCCACAGTTAAATATAAAATTCAAATAAATTTCATATTAACATATAAAAAATGATTTAACATTGCATAAAATTTTGTGAATCATAAAAATTAAATGTACGCATTGTTTTTCATCCTGCTGAAAAAATATCTGAAGTAAGTTAAAAGTGCAAATAAAAACAGAACAAAATCTATGGATCCTGATGAAAATATTGTTTAATTTTTGTTCACGATAATTTAGGCGCTACAAATTACATTAAGATATGAAAAACTGCATAATCGCCGAATATCCGTATAATTTTTATTTTTAATCCAGAATCGCGAAATTGGATGTTTAAAATCGCGTGATTACGAATCGCGATGTACGATTTTTGAGTCACGTGAAAACAAATTGCCAAGTGTAACTTTTAAATTAGGTAGATAAGAAAATCGATGTTTGATATTCAAAACACGTGAATAAGAATCGTGATATTAGAGGATTCTGGCGCAGTTTCAAATATTCAAAATGGTGAAAATCAGCAAAACTAAAAAAAAATCAATTGGCAAATTTCTGCCTATTGACATAAGACTCACGTGTATCTAAGCGTCTCGTTAGCGGGAATTAACGAAACTTTCACAATTTGAATTTTAGATCGAGGTATTGAGTGAAAATTTCATCGGATTATAAGATTTTGATTAGCTAAAGTTCGAGAAACAATAGTCTTGAGAAACGTGGAATTCCGCGATATTCCTAGAAAAATCATATGCCCTGATCCCAATTTCTAGACCCGGAAGGATAATATGAAAAACCCGGAATTTCGAGATCACCCCTGATAAATATGGGTCATGCAATATTTCCACACACCTTTAATTTGTAATAAAAAAAAGGTAAATCACAATTAATTGACATGAATATTTTCAATTTTAGTTGCCCTCTTACAAATTTCTTGTCTCCATTCCATTACAATGAAACAAGCCATTCTGCAACTTCTGAGCTCTCTCATACATTCAAATTCCCAGATAGTAACAGAGTGCACGTGCAGTGCGATGTTGTTCTCTGTAGGGGTCCTTGTGAACAGGTTTGTTATATTTCATTGTGCAAATATTTTTTCATTAATATGTAACGTAACAGTATGTGTTCTCAGTAAAATGCAAAAACTTTTTCTAAGGATGTAAATAGATTTTTCTCACATTTGTAGTGCTCTTTTTTTTCCTTATACTTTTTAAAATAGCTGATTTTGCAGTGTATTAGAACAGATATTACGTGCAACTCGAAAATTCGTCGATCAGGTTAAGAGGATGCTATACAGCTCATTTACGTATATTAATTTCATTATTTAAAATATTAATATTTAAGTATAGAAATTAATTAATTAAAATTTTAAATTATCTATTGATTTAATAGATAACAGGATGCGTAGCCAAATTTTTCAACAAAAAATAAACACCTTTAAAGCACTTTTCAAACACTCAAAAATTATTTTTAAGCACTTTGAAAAATATCATAATTAGACAGGGTTGGCAAGTTTTTGACAATTGATGGTTTTATTTACAGTGACGAAGACGATGGCGCGTAACAAACGAGGAAATTAACAAGAGAAATTAAATTTTCCATCACTAATAGAGACAAAAAATTGACAATGTTTAGTTGGTCCCCGTAATCAGCAAAAATTCGAGAGATTTTTCGATTCTATTACAGAGGGTGGAAAATGAAGTTTGAAATTGAGAATCTGTTGCAAAATGCAGCAGGGTTGCACATGAGAGTCAAAAATCCTTACCACTGAATCCAGCTCAGTATACGCAAGTGCGGACCAGCAAGTATTTCATCAAACATGTAAAATAAATTGTGCTCGAAATAGATTGGGGTAGAATTAATTTTCTATAATTTGTGGTGAAAATCAACACGGTAAAGAAAAATATTACATTTCGGAAAAGGGAAAATTAAGCACTTTTTAAAAACATCCATGGAAAAAAGCACCTTTAAGGGCTTTTAAAAAAACGAAAATAAGCATCTTTAAGCACTTTTTTAAAAACGCTACGCACCCTGGATAATTTAAAATTTTAAGAACAGAAAAAAAAGTGAATTAAGGTAAGCAATGAAGTTTCAAATGTTTTCAAAACATCAAAATGCAAACAGATTTGCAAAATTAGTTAGGATTATACGGTGGAGAAGTTATTTCGTGATAATTTGCTTGCATTTCGATATTTTGAAAACCTTTTTCAGCGCTTGAAACTTCATTGTTTATTCTAACGTTACCTGAACTCACTTTTCTCCAAGTTTTAGAAGTTGGTTAAATAGAATTAACCATAAAGAAATTTTTCCCGTGGTATAGCGCCTTCTTTAAAGAAAAAAAGGGCTAAGAATTTCGAAGAGACTCACATTAGATTATGGCCAAATTCAACCTGTTGTGCTTATGAATTCTAAAACTGCAAAATAAAAAAGCACTTGGATTAGTAAATAAGTCTGTAGTGAAATTTCACTTTTAAAATGTATTCTCAATTTCCAGTAGAATAAAAGAAAATGTACTTTAAATAATTAAATATTAACGCATGCAGTTAAAAGTAGAACAATTGTAACTCTGGTAGCAGAATTAACGGAGTAAATCCGTATAATAATCCTTCATAATCATAAATCAAAATTTATGATTATGAAGGATAATATGGGGATTCCTTCATAATAAGGATAATATTACAAAGGAAGGCTTCATAAATCCAAATTTGTAAGCAATTTTGACGTAGTCAGTGATTATTCTAGTGAAAATTCAGCGTAATCTAACATAGTGCAAAATTTTAAAATATAAGGTCCTTATACATAAAAACTTAGTCGTTTAAATTCAAGTTGAATTTAATACATTTAGGGATGTTCTCTCAATTGAGCTTTTTAAATTTTATTAGAAATATGTTTAGAAAAATTAGTCTCGGAATTTTTGTTTACTTTTCAAAAATAAAGATTATTTAGACTAAAAACAATCAGCAGGTGTGGCAATAAGTTGCACTGTCCACATGCTGAAGGTTTTTTGCTTGTAAGATTGTCACAAGTGTAAATGTTCTAAACGGTTCTTCATAACATAATATTTTAAAACAACAAGTTTAACTTTATATCTTGTGTTTACAGCCCGCCTGTAGAGGACCCAATGACCCTGTACCAAGGGCATTACCACGAGTGAGAAATGGAACTGATGACGGACAACTTATGGCATCTACCTCAGTTTACGTACTGGAGCCAGGAGATCCAATTTGTAAGTTATTACTTTACTCCTCTTACACTATCATGACAGATCATCAGGTATAATTTGAAATGAATCATTAAACTAGCTGCAACACTAAAATATTGATTAGATATTGATTAGAAATATTGATTAGAAATATTGATTCCTTTTCTGGACAAGGCATGCATGTTCTTTCATTCCCTGTACTGCCTGTCTTTACTGTGGGAGCAACGTCGCAATATTCTGACCTAATTCCCCTGAGTTGACGAAATGTCAATCCAGATTATCATTTGAAAAAAAAGGTTTCATTTTCATACAGGTTTTAGTACAGGTTCAGTACCTAGTTCAGGAAATATTAGAAGAATTCCTAATTGTCTCTAAATTTTGGGGGAAATAGAGTTGGTCTAGGAAAAAGTATAATAGTATTTATAATATATATTACCTCAAATTTTGCAAATGTATCATCCACTTTAAACTGAAAACATTCCCAGTATCTCATAAACTATCAGGCCATACTTTGTACACAGCTCTGGTATGCTTTTCACAATAATAAACTTCAAATGAGACTCTTTACTAACAAAATTATTCTACTTCAACTAATACTACAACCTAATTTTATTCACTTTATCTTCATAGAATCTGCATGGATTGTTAACATTGTTTCACAAAATAAGGAATTGAAATTAATATGAATGCTTTGTAATGAATAATGTAAATTGTATTTTTTCTTACAATTTTTCAGTAGTCCCTGTTTATCTCGCTCTAGTTTACTTCAAAACAGTTTGCATTAAAGAATTCCCAGAAATGATCTAACAATAAGTGGAGTTAATAAAATGATTATCAATGAAATGTTTGCCACAGTATTGAATCATACCAGTATATTTTTATATAAGATGTTTTCACAGAAATCAATTACAGATCTAAATTAAGCCCAACGATATATTAGCGAATGACAGACTGATTTATACCCTAGTAAAATTTCAGAAACGTTACATTTCACGAACTGCTTGGGCAAATGAGTTGCTCACAACACTGAGGAGGGAGCAGTGGGTTCTGAGTTTGATCCTGGCAGCTAACTAAACTGGCATGTATACACAATAAGGCAAAAGCCCTCGCATTGATTGTGGTGTAGAAGTTTGGAAAGAGAAGTACCAGCTCTCGCACTGAATAGGATAAAAATTAGTTTGCATTCCTACTAAGGCCATTAAAAGGCAGAGACCTGATTAGTTGGGCAAGGTGCTCATATGGTGTAAGGGCTACATTTCATTATACAGTAGGAATGTTTTGAAAATGAATTGAAAAAGATTAAGTTCCTGTTAAAAATGTTTTTCATTAAATTAAAAATGTTTTTTCCATTTTCAGAATATTCTAAAAAATGTATTCTTTTACCAAAAAGCATTTTTAAGGATATCCGAAATATTTCAAAATACCTTATTATTATAATTATGAAATACTATTGTCTCATTGTTATTTTTCCATTAAAATCAAAACAAATAATATTTTTAATAGCTTGTATAACTTTCAATACAAAAGATTAATTAAAATAAAATTTTCTAAAGCTAAAAAAAGTTATAAAAAGTAAAGCTAAAGTTATTATAAAAAAATTAAAGTGTAAATTACTAAAAAAATTTTTTTGTTAGAAATGTATTAAAAATGGCTTATAATTATTGCACACTTAAGAGAAAATATTCATGCTTCAAAAATAATTTTGAGAATTTATCCTTTTTTTCACATAGTTAATAATGTGCAAATACAGAACTAATAGTTCTGATACAATCAAAAAAGTTTGTAAACATTTCAAAATTATTTTCTAATAATAAAAGTAGCCCTACCAAATTGATAGTAAATAGTTTGTCAATATTACTTTTTTCCCATCTTATTTTCAATAATGCTATGCCTTAACAGTGAAAATGCAAAAGAAATATGTAATGTAACTAAAGTACCTCAAATCTGGATTACAGAAATTAATGACTGTAAATTAATGGTAAACTAACATTTTAAGCATATCAATTGACTCAAATGTTTAAAAATAATTATGTTATTAAGTAAAAATAGTGATTTAGTGATTAAATCTTTATTCCAGTTAGATACTAAATTACACCAGTTTTATTGCGAATTACATTGTTATTTTGAAAACAAATCTAAAATCTGGAATATTCATTTCAGATTTAACACGGTATTTTTACTAAGAAGAATGCTACTTATAGACTAAGAGCAATTTTATATTTTTTTGTACTTTGTGTTTCAGTGGCAGAATCTCTAGAAACGTGTACAGAATGGCGTTTCCCCTGGCTGATAGGTCTGTGTATCTGCCTGGCCATTTTGCTTCTTGTGATGTTAATAGTCAATATTTTCCTCTGCTCATCACTTACTTGTACATGTACAAAAACAGAGGTAAGCTCATTTAACATTTGTTCGCATTTACTTTATTTTTTCTTCAGTAAATACAGATTAATTGTATATTTTGCTGATAATGAATGACTTTACTACAGGGTTGGATAAAAAAATGATGGAAACACTTCGGTACTCCGCATTTTTTTAAATTTTTCAAGAAATACATATACTACATCTTAATTTTTAAAATAATTGTCTATGAAATTTCTCATAAATATCAATACAGTTTTCAAAGGTTTGAAGGACCAGCAATAAAAAAATAATGCTTTAGAACACCTTATGCCATAAAATATAGCAATAAGCTTGTAACTTGCATATTCTGCTTTGGTTATAATATGCAATAACGACATAAAATTTTGTAAACCTAGCTTAAGTATTCATGAAGATATGGACATTTTTATAAGAACATAAATTTTTTTGCCCCTACCTTTCCTTAATTATAACTTCAAAAATATTCAGTAAAATTAAATAGAATATTTTAGTTATTTAAAAGAATATTTGAGTTATTAGAATTATTTTTAAAAAAATTGAGGAAAATTAAACGATTTCTTTCATAATTTTCGATACTAGATTACGATAAAATTTAACTATCCTATTTTTTGTTTACCTCATTTAGAATGTTATGTGGAATTTTGTCCCGTAATTGCAGACATAAGAAAACCATACGTTTGCTTACTTGATCCTCTTCTTAGTGTTAAAGTCCATCTTCTCCATTTTAATATCTACATTGAAAAAATATTATTAGAATCAAAATTACATATTAGGCTCCTCAAATACAATCAGTAATAAGCCATATAAATAAAATAGGTAAATTTTTGGTGATTTTTTGCTAACAACCCAACAAAAAGGATTTCTAGTGATTTAGAAATTACATTAGTGTATTAGAATTATAAAGTTGTTGGAATTGAAAGTGCTATAATGAAATAATACATCAGCTGCACATTCGAACAGAAAATATCAAAACAATTGAGACTGAAACTAAATTTGAGTGTGCTAATCTTACATTTTTATAATATTTTTAATTTCCATTTCAGGTTGTTGATAAAGAACCTTCAGAAATGGATGATTACGATCCTTACAGAGTGGGTTGGGTGTCAGGTTCCCACTACGGCTCTCGCAGTTCTCTTCACAAGCCCGGCTACCTGTCGGGAGGTTCGACTCTTAACTCCACTGCTAGATCAGTGAGCAATGCTAGTGACCATTATGCCATTGTCCATTCAAGACCGAGCAGTAGGTACTCCCAACACTCCAGTAAAGAACCTTTGCACAAAAGTTCTGGTGGTTCCATTTTATCAAACGGTCATCACAATCATTACAACTCTAGAATCTAGATCATCAGGGTTGTCAAATCCAAATAATACTTTTATTACAAACTTATACCTCAAGTGATTTATTTACCTGGAACTGATTCATGCACGTGACTAGTTCAGGCATATAATGATGAAAAATTAGTAAAAGTCAACTTGAGTTTTGCGAGAGATGATAGCAATTCATCAATATCATGGAGATGTGTGCATGGTTGATAATGTGCTTCAAGTGTGTGAGCAGCTTATTTTTAATGTTTTGAGCCTCGCATTAATAAAGAAGCACAAGAAATATTTAAAAATATTGTATAATCTGATAATTGCATGTTTGATGGAGTTTTCTTTAACATTATTATTCAAAAATTATAATTAAATTGCTTTTTTTTTTAAATTTAATTCTACACTGCACAGTGATGTATGATATCAGTTTTGCATTGAATTTTCTGCAAAATTACCTTTTAAAGCTAGGGGTAATTACTGTGACGTAAAGCGAATTCTAAATATGAATATAACAAACACATAGGCTTTTTGAAAAACATTCAGAAGGAAGGGTAGTGAAAAATCTAAATTGATATTGCCCACCATCTTTTTCTTTTGCCTGTATATAAATAAGATTTCTATGAAGCCACTACTAATTTTCTGTATATCAAGAAAGTTTACAAAATTTCTAACAAATAAATTAATCTTGTGGATACTAAAATGACACTGATAATAAAGATACAGACAGGGTGTTTGTTGTTCAGACGCTTTCACAGTACAGTAGCTGAACACTAAACATCCCTGATAATAGTTCGTTATGATTGGTTGAGATAACGAATACCTAATGTCATTTTGAGATTCATCTAGCTGACTTTTTTTAATAGGAGGTTTTTACAAATTAACTATTATCAGATAATTCGAAATTTTGAAGCTCTTTTCTAACGGAAAGCACCGAGCAAGTTCTTCGTCTCGGAAGATGCTGGAAGTGTTTCTAATTTAACGCTATCCCAGTGGGCACCGTGAACATACATTATGAAATCAAGCAACATTACCTGTGCCATACTGCCACAGACACATTCATAGGGTGGGCCACATTTACACAGAAAGATACATAGATGTCCTGCACTAGATTCAAACCCGCAACTATTGGCTCTGCAGGCAGGCATGTTGACCACTCGATCGTTTGGCCACTGAAATTTAGAAGGGATCTCTTACATTTTTAAATAGTATATCATAGTAAAAAAGAGGGCAGAAATCTTATAAGTTAGGTTTTCCAAATCTTATAAGTTAGGTTTTCCCATACCTCCTGGTGAATCTTTGCCAAAAATCTAAAACTTTTCATAAAAATCTTAATTTTAGAACACAGATTAAAATATAAAATTACCTGAGAAAAATTTTTTAATAATCCGATAATATTCATGCAGTGTAGAGTTAAAATATTAATAATGAAAAACAATCAGACATTTAGATTTTTTCCTACAGTAAAATTATATAGTTATTTTAATGAATTTTACATTTTTAGAAAGTGTAGAGCATGACAAAACTAGCTTAATTTCATTTAAAATAAAGTGATAGTTAAAAAACGAAATTTTTTTTTCTCTAGTTCTATGAAAAGATCAGATTTATACAAAGTAGCTAAACGGGTTAATGTAACAAAACAATGCTATTGGCACTCACAACTACAGAGCTTATTGTAATTTAATAAAAAAAAAAAGAAATTCAGTTCACATTTTTCATGCATTTTGTTTTTTATGCACATTTCATCCATTCTTAACAAGGTTAACATTTATTGACATGTGTTTAGGCATCTTGTCAGATGAAATATGTAATTTATTTATTTTAGTACAGGGTATTTTAAAAAAGAAATTAAAATCAATTTGAGTGGTAAGATAAGATTATTTATTAACAAATTTGATAGAAAATTTACGACTTGTTAGTCTAACAATTTGATATTTTAAATAAACCAATATTTTTGAAATTGAAACATTCAATGTAAATATAGATACACAAAAATTCAGATTTCAATAGACTTTCCAACAAATTAAATTCAACAATATAAAAAGTGCATAAACAGGTAAAGCTTAAAAGCTGCAAAATAAGTTTGTCTTTTCATTTTAATAAATTGTTCCATATTCATATACAACTAGAACAATTTTACATGCATAATAATAAGCTTATATAAATTTGTCTACAGCCCTTGAATTAAAGTGATGCTTATGATTATAATCATAATTGCAAAAGGAATTTAATACCCTTAGAATGTTAAAAATACTGTAAAAGATCTGCACAAAATCTAATGTATGTCGATACTCGTTAAACAATTTAACTTTTTATAAACAGCGATGAATTTAAACATTTTATTGTGCACACTACTTAATTACAAAATATCTAATGATACTTTGAAGAAGTGATGTATTATTTGAATACCCTGTACAGTGTTCAAAATTAGTTGCCATTGTAAAACATTTTATGTTTGTTAAAATGTTCCCTGTAAATCTGAATAATGTTTTGTTTTTTATATCTTAGGAATAGAAATGAGAATTTTTTCTCATTAAACTACAGAAAGATTAACATTGTTATTTATATAATAATTTACAATTTCATCATAATCATTGTTTGTAAAATACACTTTTAACAAGCATTCATCGCCATAACCTGGGTTTTTATCTACCTAAAAATGTGACAGGAACAATGTTCCATAATTATGTAAATATGTTATTTTTGTTAGGATAAATAAAGTAAATTTTTTCTAATTTCTTGTCTGTTTTTTTATTAATTTTCATGTAAGATCTAAACTACATCCAAGGGAAGCATGAAAAAGTCTGTATGAAAAGTAACATTGTTAAAGTGCTAAAAAAAGCACTTTGAATGGGTTCTCAACTAAGTATAAAACTTCTTTTCTAACTCTAAAATACCAACAGATATTTTTATTTCAATCATTAATTAAAGAGCTTATTCCAAAGCCATTTTAAGGGATTTGAGTAAAAAGAATTTCAGAATGAATTCATACATGAGGAAATCTGCTTTCAACTGAAAACCTTTACTTGACAGAATAAATAAATGTTTTATGCATTTAAATGATCATGACTTGATCTCAAAACTAGGAATTTTAATATACATTAAACATTTCATATTAACATTTCGAATTTTATATTAAACAATAAAATTCTCTGACCAGCAATAATAGTTAATTTTATGACAAATAATTTTCTGTGCGTTCAACATATCAGTAACCAGTATCCTTGGTTAAGATTTGTTAGGTAGCCTCTAAAATTACCGTTAGTGAAAAATGCGGAATTAGATAGCCTATTGTGATACGAATAAACACTACAAACAGTTTTTTTTTATAATTAAAAGCTGATTATTCTAAATTAATTTAAAAAGAGCATTTTCAGAACTAAAATATATGATAAGGAAAAATTGATGGTTTAATTTATAATATTTATAAAAAGTAAGAACCCTTAAAAAAATGTATACAAAATTTTTAAGAAGCAAATTTAAACATTACAAAATTCTCCAACACTATAATTTTTTTTATAACAAACATTATTAGATTAGTAATTTCAATTCAGAACAAACAAAAAAACAAATTTTTCCTATCATTATTTGCATGATTGAGGTCTTTAAACATTTTGAAAGCTCGGTACATTGAACAATCAAAGATTATTATGATATTGGCAAATTGCAATTGTACAAAAAGAAAAAAATACTATATGTCTTTAATCATAGTTTATTAAAATTTTATTTTGTGTTTACTTAAGTCAGTATACAACTCATTTTTTAGCAAGAAGGAAAGTTGATTAAGTTGAGTGAAATGACTTTTAGATGTTGATTGCTCAACTTAATATCTATTTGTGAAAATCTCAGAAAATTAATTTAATATGGAATCTCGCTAAAATTTTCAAAAGTTGGAAATAACATAACGAAATAACTTTTCTTATAAAGCAGAAAGTAAAAAGTTTTTCGAGTTATTTATATCAAATTTTGATTTAAAATACACATTAAACAATAGAGTGTGAGTTTTTTCTAACTTTAAGCTAAAGGTTTTCACACATCAAAATACTAATCGTTCTTAAGTTATTCAATGAGGATAACTTTTGGCATGGGCTCAATGCTTGATGGTTTAAAATGCACTTTATTAACAAAAATATTCAACCAAAAGCAGTGTAAATTATTAACTGAATCTATTTTAAATAAACTATGACAAATAAGTTGGATTTAACATTTTCGAATACATTATTTTGAATGAGAAAATAAAAGCATGTCTATGATAATGTTAGTGTTAAATAAAAATTTTAACTGTAAAAAAAAAAAAAAGACCTTACCACAATGGTTTTGTTTAAATCCACATCTACGATGAAGCACGATTACTTTAGATCTGGTCAACTTGTGAAACTTTGCATAATGTAGACAGGTAAATCAATGCTTCATAACTTTCAAAACTCAGCAGCGCGACAGCCCTAGAGGGCCAAGGCCTACTGTGCCCATCTAAGTTTTCTTGACCTTGGGCTCTGGGGTGCAGAAGCAGATGTTCCAGTCAGGTGGTCAGCCGAACGCGGAACCCCCAGTGTTTAGTTCCCAAGCATGCTTGGTACTCATTTATCGACCCACTGAAGGGATGAAAGGCTAAGTCAACCTTGCCTGGCCCGAAGATCGAACCAGGGACCTGTGGCACGACAGCGCAAAGCGCCACCGGGCGTCCAATAACGTTCAAAGTATCACTAAATTTACAAGGAAAAGCTGCAAAAAAATATTTTTTATTAATTTGTGGATTTCAAAAAAATTGCTTATATTTCAAACTAATAAAAATCGAGGGTGTAATTTTTTTGAAAAACATGTTTGGGTGCAGAAATGCCACTTGTGCTAGCGTCATGAAAACCGGATCAATGAATACAATTTAATATCAGTAAAAATTATCTCTACTGATATAATACTGAGTATAAACAAATTTACCAATTGTGAATGATAGAACTATTTTAAATAAATACACAATTATCTTTTTGGTTAAAGTTTGTATTTGAATTTATAACAAAAAAAATGTGTTATCTTTATAAGATAAGAAGAGGTTTATTTGTTTGAGATGCTTAGTTTCAATGAGGTTGTAGACTTTTTTCAGCTATCGTCAAAAAGAGCTCTCTAAGTAAAAGGCTTGCACAAATATTTTGAATACATTTAATTTACTTTTTTTTTGCTAATATTTTTGTTTTGATATTATTTTGTGTTTCCTTATTTAACCTTAACCGCATTTGGAGCAGAGGTGTGCCTAGTCACTGGGAGAGGTATTGATGGTCACCCTTAAAGCTTTTCTTCAACACGTTTTCGTTTATGGAAAAGATTTGGTGCCTCTAAAAAGTGGTCGAAAATCGAGGAAGTCACTACATAGAGATGGTCTTTTCTCATAGTTTTAATGTACTTAGAAGCTAAAAAAGAACCAGAGAAAAAAAACAAAATATTGTACCTATGTAAATAATTTCCATTTAAATATAATACTTCATCTATTTAAAATAATTAAAAATAAAAGTTTGCTTCCCGTTAATATAATAAGCAAAATGAATGCACTTTAAAAGATAAATCAAAGAAACATGTTCCCCATTTATTACATCCTATAAAAGAGAAAGCAAGGACTGAAAAAGCAAATTATAAAAGTTAAGCTGGAATATAATAATCTAACCGAAAATAGTTAAAAGACATACAGCTGTTTCAGTATGATTAAAATATCATACTCAGTACCAAAACAGAATGAAAAGAAACACATGATTCTTCAATATTTAATTTCATGTTGCTATGATGATATTTGCTTAAAAGTACTGATACAGCTGTATATCTTTTAGTTATTTCTCTTTATGCTTATAATATCCTTCTCTGTGTTATTATAAAAAAATTATTAAAATTGAGAATTAGTTAAATATTAGAATAAATTTAATTTTACCAGTTGCTTTGATTAAAAAAGCGATTTCTGAATTGTGCCATTAAAATAAATATAATGCAGGATGAAACCCTTTAGGTGTAACATTTAGGTAGACATACTTTGTATAAAACAAATAAGGTTAGATTTAGGAAAGAGTACTTAGATTGTAGAAATACGACAGGAATTGTTTAAACATGTAAATCATAAGGAAATTGACCATGTTTAAAAATTAGTGGAAGTAACATTAACATTGAGTCACCACCAATTATTTGAACTTTAAATAAAAGAAGACAGGGTGCGCAGTCAAATCTTTCAACAAAAAATAAGCACCTTTTAAGTACTATTTAAGCACTCAAAAATATTTTTAAGCACTCTATACATTGGCAAGACTTTACGTGATCATGAAAAAAATAGCTAGTTTCTGACAGAGAACTCTTTTCTTGAATTATATTGGTGGAAAATGAAGCTTGAAATTTAGAATATCTTGCAAAATGCAGCAGAGTTGCACATGAGAGTGCAATAATCTCACCGAACCCAGCTCAGTAGACGGACTCCCAAGTATTTCATCAAACATGTAAAATGATTGGCACTTTTATAAGCTATGGACCAATTGTACGCCAAAATCGATTGTGGTTGAATGAATTGTGAAAATGTTGGATAGAACAATGTAAAAAGCACGCTTTTGCATAATATGTGGCGAAAATCAACATAGTAAAGAAAAAAAATCTCATTTTTGATGTTGTTGTTGCTAATTTACGTCGCACTAGACTGCGCAATGGGCTATTGGCGACGGTCTGGGAAACATCCCTGAGGATGATCCGAAGACATGCCATCACAATTTTGATCCTCTGCAGAGGGGATGACACCACTGTTTCGGTAGCCCGATGACCTGCATGCGAAGTCGAGCACTTTACGGTAGAACAGTTTAACGAGGTCCAATACCGCACACCCTCGGTTCCTACGCAGACTGATCCAAGTGGTCACCCACCCGCACACTGACTGCAGCCAGTGATGCTTAACTTCGGTGATCTGCTGGGAACCGTGTCTTAACGATCAGTTCACTGTGGGACATCATTTTTGAAAAGGAAAATTAAGTACTTTTTAAAAACACCCAATGAAAAAAAGCACCTTTAAGGGCTTTTAAAAAACAAAAATCGAAATAAGCACCTTTAAGTACTTTTTTAAAAACGCTATGCACCATGGAAGAATACGATCTGGAACTGAACAGGAGGCTCTTGCTTAGCAGAGGATACTAAAGTTTTATTGATAATAGCTGAAATCCTTTTATCGACACTACACTTCTTTAAGTTTGGCAGAGAATTATATAGTTTCATGGTGAGAGAGCATAACGCTCATGGCCAGTCCCTGTTGCTTAACAGCAACCTTCGATCGGTGGAGAAACTTTTTCTTTTCAAAAGAGGCATCCTCTGCATCGATGTGAAAATAAACAGCATGATACAATTCTGGGAGTAATTCAAGGTGACGCTTTGAGTCTAGATTTTAAGAATATTAGTTACCCAATGTCACATATATATTACAAACTATTTAAATTTAGGTGTATACTAAACACTGTATTATGACATTAATTTAGAGTGACACAACAAAATCCCTGGAATGTTTATTTAGCACAATATTCACAACTATAAAAATAAATGATTGATAAAGACAAATACTACAACTTCTTTATAACTATAAATAATTAAATGATAAAATTATAAAATATAGCTCTTTCTAAAAAAATATCACATTCAGAAATTAATATAAGGAAATGAAATATTGACTCAGCCAGTAACAGCTGCAACCCACCAATAAACATTTATCTTCACTGACCAATATCAAATACAGGGTAAAATAATCATTTCGGTTAAATTAATGTTAAAAACTGATTGCTGTTAGCATAAAGTTTTTTTCTTTTCAAATCAGAAACAAAAAAAAATAATATGTAAAACATCAATTGTAATTGTACGTTAAATATTTCTATCTAAGTTATACACTACTTGGCAAATAAACACACATTCTGTTCTCTTAATTAGCAGAAGAGCTTAAAAATAATTTGGGATTTTACAAATGAAGATAATTTAACTTAACATTTAATTTAGCTACATATTAGTTAAAAAATGCTCATTTTATGCTCATACAGATTATTTGAAATCTAAACATATTGAAAGGTATGTTACTTTACTCATGGCTACATAACCTTTATAAAATAAGATGTGAAAATTTGATCCAAGTAAGGCTTAACATAAAAAAAATAATTGCAGAACAGTTTAAAAATATGGTACTTGGGATTTCAAAAATTAAGATAATTTAATTTAACAATTAATTTAGCTATATATTAGTTGGAAAATGTAAAGTTTATGCTGAAACAGATTAATAGAAATTTTAACAATTGAAAGATACTTAACTCATGGTTACATAACTTTTATAAATAAGTTATGAAAATTTTTATCCAAGTAAGACTTAGTGTAATGAGAATTTTTAATATATGTTACAAATTGCCAAGTTTCTTAAGAGAATTATATAAACATATACACAATATATTTTTATCTGTTCTGTTTAATTCTGATAAATGGATGAAATAAAAATTGAAAAACACAAAAATTTTAGTGTTATTATATAAATGTTAAAACTTAAGGATGCAAGAACGTTAATATAAAAACATCAAATTTAGTAAATACAACAAGGTTTATATAAAGAAAGTTGATTTTAGAAGAAAAACATGCAACAAGGTAAAAGCAAAAATATTGGAACTAAGCAATACAACATGATTACTATAAATAAGTAAAACTCAAAATTACAACAAAAACATTAAAAAAAAATTAAAATTTTGAAACAAGGAAGATAATAATGACATTTATAACAAATGAATAAAAATGAAAATTATTCAGGCATTAAGAACAATAATGTGATTTTTTTTTCTCTTTTTTTTCTACAATGAGTTTGCACAACATGTTGCACAGCATTTGAATCAGTTTAACACATTTTTCAATACCATACAGTAGGCAAGTTGTCATCTTAACTTAAGTTTTGTTCTCATTTCTCATGCATGGCTTGAATCTCAACTGATTTGAAATTTTTTCAAGGTCATACCAGAGTCACATTTTTAGAGTATATTGAAGATGATAATGAGATCTACTTCCTCCACATAATTAAATCACCTTCATCTGTTCAGATTATTAAACACAAGATTTTGTTGAATGGACGGGCACATTTGATCCATTACTGAAAAAAGTAATAATTAGAAAATGCCAGGGTAATCTAATGATGAGCTTTAAAGTAATTAGTTGCTTTTTTTCTCTTTATTCTTAACATCTAATTCCAAGAAATAGCACAAGGAAATGATATATACATATATACATATATAAAATAAACAGCATGATACAATTCTGGGAGTAATTCAAGGTGACGCTTGGAGTCTAGATTTTAAGAATATTGGTTACCCAATGTCACATATATATTACAAACTATTTAAATTTAGGTGTATACTAAACACTGTATNGACGCCCGGTGGCTGAGCGGTAGCGCTTCGCGCTGTCGTGCCACAGGTCCTTGGTTCGATCCTTGGGCCGGGCAAGGCCGACTCAGCCTTTCATCCCTTCAGTGGGTCGATAAAATGAGTACCAAGCATGCTTGGGAACTAACACTGGGGGTTCCGCGTTCGGCTGACCACCTGACCGGAACATATGCTCCTGCACCCCAGAGCCCAAGGTCAAGAAAACTGAGATGGGCACAGTCGGCCTTGGCCCTCTTAATGGGCTGTCGCGCCACTGAGTTAGTTAGTTTTATATATATATATATATATATAATTAAAAATTAGAGCAAAACATTTTTAATAAGGAGCATTAATAATTTTATTTTAAAAGATTATTAAATTAACTAATAATAAGATTATTAAGTAATTAATTAATTTCAAACATCATCGGTCAAAAACTTATACATTTCATTCCTAGACTTTTTATGGTATGTCTTCCAATGTTAAAAGCTATAAACAAATCAAATAATATAAGTACCAAGTTTAGCAATACGTTTTTCATAGGGGTTAGTCCATATTATTAGAGTCGATTACGTACATATATCATGTAAAAATCCTCAATACCACAATTATTTTACCAAAATTCGATATAGTTATAGAACTAATTAATTGTGTACCCATATTTTTAATTTATGAAAATTAATATTTCTTTTTTTAACAAAAATATTCCACGGTTTTCAATTTTGTCAGCTATTTTGAACAAATACTGACCAGTTAATAAAAAGTAGACATGCAACGAATTTTTTTCCATCTATTAATACTCTACATGATAATTGCTTCATTACTTTAAAAATTATATTAAAAAGCAGCAATAAAGTTTATATTCATATTTTTAAAATTGAATATAAATGGGACGAGAAATTCTCCTTTTAAGTAGCATCCAAGCTTGAAAGACAATTTTATTAATCCTTCATAACAGCATAAGAAATATTGCTCGACATAAATAAATATCTATGAACATATTTTATATTATTAATAATGCATAATATATTTTGTTAAAAATTATTAAGGCTGTAACGAATAGTGATTTGGCTGAATAACTGAATATTCGACCAAAAAGTTCAGTATAAATTAATAAAGTTTCAATTCTTCAAACTTTGCTTTTCAATTTGTTTTTCAGAATATAAAATAACAGGTTTTAGAACTTAACACATGCATGTAAAAACAATTTCTACTAATGTATATGTATAGTAAAGAATAAGATTTTAGATCATTCTTCCTTAAATCTACACAAATCCCTCACTCCAAACAAAGAAAACTTTGTCAAAATATACCTTGCCAAATATTTGCCCAACCAAATATTTGACAAAAGGGCTAAATACTGAATAGTGACCAAATATTTGTTACATTTCTAAAAGTTATTAGCTAAAATTTTCAAGCAAACAATTCAATTAACCCAACCAAGTAATGCAATAAAATCTACAGGAGATTTTAACCTCCATATCCATCTTTTATATACAAATACAAATCGAGAAAATAATTCCAAACAAAGAAAACTTTGTCAAAATATACATTGCCAAATATTTGCCCAACCAAATATTTGACAAAAGGGCTAAATACTGAATAGTGACCAAATATTTGTTACATTTCTAAAAGTTATTAGCTAAAATTTCCAAGCAAATAATTCAATTAACCCAACCAAGCAATGCAATAAAATCTACAGGAGATTTTAACCTCCATATCCATGTTTTAACTTCAAATCGAGAAAATAATTCTAATGTTAAAACATTAAGCTTTTTTTTAAAATAATTATTAAGTTATGGCTAAGATTAGAGCACTATTAAATTACTAAGAATGAATTTCAAGAATCTAATAGGAAAATATTTAAGAGAGTTGCATTGTAACTTTCAAATAATAACAATTAATAATGATAGTATTAATAAAACACAATACCTTGCACAAATAATAATGAAAACTTTACAATAAATTAGCTTACATAGCCGAATTGTTCACAATAAAAGGTTCCGTTTTTATTAGTATGGATAGACCATCAGATGTAGAAGTTGATGCAGAATTATGTGGCACAGTTTCGCTAAGGAAATATAAGTTGCTTTGAGTTGGGTTGATCTGCAAATATATACATTTTAGTCAATAAAACAACATGATTCATAAAATCAACGATATGAATGATATTACAATAAAAAAGTAACTACATTTATTTTAAATATAAAGAAAAATTATAGAACTTATTTAACAATGTTTAAATGAGAGAGATATTTGATTCTACATCATGCAAACTGAACTTCAGTCTAACTTTAGAGATAAAGAATGACAGAGAAATCAAAAATATTTTATTACATGTGTAACCGAATATTAGAATTAAGTAAAATTCAATTAATACTCAAATTAATGAAACATAGATTTGATAAATTATTATTATTTTTTCATAACTGTTGCTGAACAGCCGACTGTATTTTGAGGTTATGACAACCAACATTCAACTCCTTGGCCTTATAATTTTGAACCCAATCCAGTAGACAGAGGAATCCTGGATCAAGCATTGGGAGAAATTTACCTTCGTAGAAAAGTCCTAGGTCCTGAGGACTAGTAGTTTCCAAAGTCTAAAAGAATTTCTCAGATACTTAATCATTGTTGTTGTTTCTAATGCCACTAGCCACACGGGCTAGCCTGTTGGTGAAACCGATTCAAGCAGATTTAAGTCAGAGTGTGCGTTTCTTATTTTTCAGTGGCGCCATCTATGGCCAAGAATTCGATTTCTGCCACATCATACGTCGCACCCGTTTATAGGACGGACCCATTCATACAACCAGTCATTCACCCACAGATCGTAATTTTGACTGAATCAGAGAACGATCTATCTCCAATCCAGTACCCCCAGAGTTTTGATTTGTTATGGGAACATGAAGGACTTTTGCGACTCGACAGATTTAACGTGCATCAGTCACTTTACTATATGGGGAGTCTTCGGCCGGCGGGGTTCGAACCCACGAACTCTCAGACATGGGCCCAGCGCCCTACTGACCAGGCTATCCCGGTCCTCAGATATTTAATGAACTAAGGTAACAAAATGGCAGATTCCCTAATAATATAAGCTGTTACACATTTAACAAATAATGCAGCATATTTAAAAATTTTAATGCACACAGACTTCGTAAAATTTTCAGAGACTACCTAATACCCAGAAAAAATATCACTACACCTCTGAATATAAATTAAAAATATATTGACCTGTAAGGAGTCATTTATTGAGTCACTCCAGAGATCTCTGTTCTGCTTTCTTTCTGTTCTGCTGAAAGTTCTTTGTTTTCTTCCATGAGCATGTTTAAGTGTAGTTCCTTGAAGAGTATAACCTTGTGCAGACAACTGGTGATTGCTAGAATAGATTTTAAAAAATAAAATAACTATAGTATTCAAAATTTTGTCAAAAGTCACTAGATATTCTGAAAATTCTAAAAATTCAGCAAATTCCTAACCGTCACTGTGTACAGGGCTTGAAAAGTCTCAAAATCTTTACACGTCCAGTCAGACACGCAAACAAAATCCATCTTTTTCACTGTCATGGTCACTTTTTATGTTAACTATCATTGAGATTGTGGATACCAATGATGCAAAGTGACTATACATGGATCAGTGTGATCTCAATGGAGTGCAATCTCTACAAGTTGGCTATGTTTAACAGTGGGGACTAAAGTCAAAGGCATCACCATGGAAATGATCAGCAACGCTGAATACAACAGCAAATGTGACAGTCATGTGGAATTTAGTCATGGCAAACAAGGACCTTTGGCTAAGCCTTATATGCCAAGATAAATCAGAATTCTGTGGGTGATACATTCTATCTTTAAGGCTGTTTTTTGAAGGCTCCGTCGTAGTTGGAAATGATGTTTTTTTTATGAATAATATGTTAGTTTTATAACTGTTATGAGTTTGCAACTGTTACTCATGACTGTAAGGTCAAGTTTAGCCTATCTAACGCCAGCGCAGTCTATGTTTATTTTAAAAATGGTCCACAACATCAATATATATCAAAAGCGACAGTTTTGAAGAAATGAAAAAAATTTTTGTCTAATTTTTTGTCTAATTTTTTAATATTTAAAAACTTACTCCAATGCTGCAGTACCAGGGCTCATAAAAATTTGCAAAAACTGGGAATATGGCAGTGATTTTGATAACTTTCATCTAGGTGGAAAAAGGTCGCCAAATTGACGATTTTTAAAAAAGTTTAACAACTTTTAAAATATTTAAGTTATTGGTCTGTTCTAAAGCCCAGAAAATTCTTTATGGCAAGATTATATATATAGTTTAAAATTACCGCATTGCTTCAAGTGTTCACTTAAACTATGGCTTTTTTGTTTACCTTGGCGACAGAGTTCGAAAAACAACGTTAACAGAATTAAATGCAATAGGTTTGCAGGTTAAGAATCAACATTCCTACAAAATGGCACCCCAAATCCTTCAAGACATCTCAGCC